TATATATATACATACATGCACACAGTATATTTTGTTTATAGCAAAATATGCATATATACAAAAAGTAGTTTGAGAGCATAGGGAGTCTATTTATAGTCATTTATAGAGCTTTGTCGTATGTCGTGTTTTGCTTGTCATGACTCTGATAGGTGGATATGTCTTTAAAAAAAAAAAGCCAAAATAATACATACTGATAAATTTAAATAATATGGTCAAATTTTTTACTTTATTTTTTTTTTCTCAAGAAACACAAACATAAATAACTATAAGAGCCGAAACTTCTTGATTAATTTCCTTATGTTTACATGCCTGTAACTCAAGAAGTATTAAAGATATCTCTCTATATTTTAGTTGTTAAACTTTTTCTTTTTTGGTATCTTCATTTTTAAGGCCCCATGAGGTTAATTTCCAGAGATTACAATGTAGCTCCTTGAGTAAATTGTACACATTTTCAGTAGTCAAAAGTCAAATGTTACTTTGCATTCAGCTGATACTTTTTTTTCTTTTAAAGATAAATGTCTGAAGGACAAATAATTTTAAAACTATAAATGTATCTTGTTTCCCTCTACCAAAAAACATTTGGCATAGAATATGCCATAAATGTTATTTTTCCCATGTTTGCATAACCTGTACCTCTAGAAGTATGAAAGATATCTTAATATCCTTTTAAAATTGTTGTTCTTAATGATTTTTATTTTATTTTTTTGTAGTCTCTACAAAATAGTCACTTACTCAGTAAATATACATCCATGACATTTAATATTTTGGCTTTCTTCTTAATTTATATATTTCTTTCTCCAGGAAAAAAAAATAACAATCAAAAATCTGACCCACATCCCATCAGTTACACCATCCTCACATCTCATAGGTCTGTCTTTAAAGGTTTACATGCAATCAATCAATTCCCCTATGGAGAAAATTAATAGAATTTTTCTTCCAGATCCCAACTGTTGCATCCAGCACTGTCCTACGAGTACAGATATTGTATGTATAAATAGGGTTATATAATTAAGGAAATTAGCACCAGGTGCCAGGTTAACACCCATAACTTGGAGGCATCTGTAAGTGTTCTCTAATTTTCATCAGAGTTCTTTTTCAAATATCTCATTTAAGTTTTTTATACTGTGCTTCAGAATATATTTAACTCATGAAATATGCTTAAAAAACTGCACTTTTACTCCTGCTAGGATAACTTCAAATAGGACTAAGCAGTGACCTCGACTATAAATGTATCTTGTTTCCCTCTACCAAAAAACATTTGGCATAGAATATGCCATAAATGTTATTTTTCCCATGTTTGCATAACCTGTACCTCTAGAAGTATGAAAGATATCTTAATATCCTTTTAAAATTGTTGTTCTTAATGATTTTTATTTTATTTTTTTGTAGTCTCTACAAAATAGTCACTTACTCAGTAAATATACATCCATGACATTTAATATTTTGGCTTTCTTCTTAATTTATATATTTCTTTCTCCAGGAAAAAAAAATAACAATCAAAAATCTGACCCACATCCCATCAGTTACACCATCCTCACATCTCATAGGTCTGTCTTTAAAGGTTTACATGCAATCAATCAATTCCCCTATGGAGAAAATTAATAGAATTTTTCTTCCAGATCCCAACTGTTGCATCCAGCACTGTCCTACGAGTACAGATATTGTATGTATTCAGCTAATAAAAACAAAATCTAAAAGGAAGCCTTTATCATCTTATCGGAAGACAAAATTCTGCTTGGACAGCATATTTTCTTACTAGTAAAAATAATAAACACATACAACGACGCACACTTGTTAATATGCTTATTCTTGCTGGCAGTTTTTAAAATTATTTTAATAATTATGAACAAATTAAGGATAGCATGAAATGCAATTATAACAATGCAACAGGTGTAAAGGAAGCAACCTCATTTAATATTTGCGATTGTTTTCTCCTATGTATCTCCATCACTATGTCCCTTTAGTGGCTCAACTTGACCTTCCATAACGAATGAAATAGAAGTAATGAATTCAGCACAATTTTTACTTATTTCTTTGGACTGTCAACAGTTAAAACATTTTCACACTAAATTGGTTTAATGATGCAATATAGTCGTTTTATCTCAGAGATGTCAACTTGACACCAGTTGAAATGAATCAAAAATGAACCGAGGTGTTTTATTTTTTTTAAACTCCAGGTCAGTTCCACCATGTTGGAGGGAATTACATTTTTGTTCATATCTGAAAAGTTAGTGAGACAAATCCACATGGAGTTCCACTTGGCTAACCTTCCCACCGCTGGATCTCTGTGTGACACTATGGCCAGCTTAGACTCACTTCCCAGGTGCAGTGTTTAACAATCCAGCTCATTAACTCTGGAAATATGCTCCAGCAGGACCTGGCTATTCCACAAAATACTAGCCAAGTCCCTGGAAAAAAGGTTCAGGGTCGTTTATGTAAGAGAGCACATTCAGACAGCGCTGATGAATAAAAGTTTAAATGACAAAATATTACATACTCAGTGTATTTTTTTGTACGGTGTCTCTTAGAATTTAATTATGCACTAAATGAAAAAAATACAATGGGCCTTCATGAAACAAGTAATGCAATAAACCAAATGTCTGCAAATCGTTGGACTGTTGTAACAACTGACTTCAAGAATGGCTTTACAAATGTTCACAGAATGTTTCATGAATGACAACAAATGACAAAATTGATTATCACATACAAAAAAAACCACCTCTAAACATATGCAAGACATGCCAACCTTCATATTATAGTGAACCTATACATGCAATACAGGTTATTCCTAACTTCCAAAAAAAACTTTACATATTCTTGTCTTTTTTTTCTTAAAAAAAAGAAAAGGGAAAAAGCTGATAATTCATACATATTACACTATGCATTAAAAAGTGGAATAGGTACTTACCTTAAAGCATCAAGTCATGAATTCCATACGAAAAACAAAAGCCAGATCACTATTCACGACTCCCAGTGAATATTACGACAAACAATTTACAATGGAAATAACCAGCTGGTAGTAACACCGGACCATAATTTAGTGAAACCGCATGCTCTCTTATTTTGCCTCTAGCTGTAGATCATTTTTTGAGCTCCTCCATTAATTCGGAGCGCTGTGATGGTGTGTGCTGTTCCTATGAGAAGGGTGAAACATTAACCAGAGAGACCAGTCTATTTCCTCTGGCTGGTTATAGTCAGCCTGTGGTCACTCCTATTTCAGTCACCTCCAGCAACATGGCTGAAATCATTTAAAATGATCAACTTATAATACCAGCCCAAACAAATACAATGTGTTTTATAAAGTAGATTTACACATGTAGAGTAGAAGGGAGTCTTAAAGCTGAACGCAAAAAATCAACACAAACACATCATGCTGAAATGAAGGCTTAAACAAATTAAAAACTGGATGCATTACTAGTTACCAGTTTTAAAAGTGCTAATCCAATCTAGCTAATCTTAATGATTATGATATGCAGGAAGTATCACACAGCATTCATAAACACACAAAAGCTTTATTTTGAGGATTTAATATAATTCATATTGCGGTTGTGATCTAAAATAAATACATACATGAATGTGCCTTTTCAACAATTCTATACTAATTCATGGTTTAATTCATAATGGTTTGTTTTTTAATTGTGGTACATCAAAAGGATTAATAATGTACGTAACCAATCATGAAGCCGTGCAAAAAAATGAATGGGGAATGTGTTCTAATCGAAATACTTCACTCAACATGCTCAGAACCTTAAAGGGTTAGTTCACCCCAAAATTAAAATTAGCCCACAAATTACTCACCCTCAAGGCATCCTAGGTGTATATGACTTTCTTCTTTCAGACGAATCCAGTCGGAGTTATATTAAAAATTGTCTTTGATCTTTCAAGCTGTTTAATGCCACTCAGCGGGTGTTGCATGCATCAGTCCAAAAGAAGTTAAATAAAAAGCGCCCATCCATAAAAAAAAAAAATAAGAGAATTTTTTTAAGAGAAATATCCGTATTCAAAATGTAATAATCACTTTAATCTAGCTTGCGCTCACTGTTGTAAAGGGAAGCAGATTTGGGCAGATGACGTCAGTGGTGGACAGTAACGGAGTAGCTTTACTTCATTACTGTACTTAAGTACATTTTTCAAGTATCTGTACTTTACTGGAGTAGTTTTATTTTGAGTAATTTTTACTTTTACTTCACTACATTCCAAAGCATAAGATCGTACTTTTTACTTCACTACATTTCATAAAACATATCGTTACTCCTTATAATATATCACGTCTTCTGTAGCGAATCGATGCGTTTTTGTAAGAAAAATATCCATATTCAAAACGTAATAATCACTTTAATGTAGCTTGCGCCAACAGTCCTACACGGAAGCAGTTCCGGGCGGATGACGTATGAGGTCGGCTTTACGCATGCGCCGTTCAGAAGTGACACACACAGAAGCACAGGGGAGAGATCAAAACAAAACAACGGTCAAGAATTAGAAGTACAAAACGAGGATTTGTAAAGAACGTGAGAGGATTTCGATATCCTCGATATAAGCCAAGAGGAGACTGGTTTTCCTTTGCTAAAGTAAGGAAACTTTGCTTCCTTTGCTCCTGTGAACAAACGTTGGTTTTCACGAGACTTGCATGCGCAACGCTGACCTCAGAGGTCATCCGCCCGGAACTGCTTCCCTTTACAACAGTGAGCGCAAGCTACATTAAAGTGATTATTACATTTTGAACATGGATATTTTTCTTCCAAAAACGCATCGATTCGCTACAGGATTCATTTTTGGGTGAACGACCCCTTTAAGGCTAGGACTTGACTTTTTTTTAACAAAATGTTCAAACAGAAAATAGATACGAAATATTTAAGATACCAAAGGTTAGATTCCGTTGTTTTCAATAAAATCACATGAGATGCTTTCTGGAACGTTCTCAAATTATGCTGGAAAACACGTCATGGATCATCAGGATTTGCACTAATCGGTGGTGCCCATGTCAGCTCAAGTGCTGCTGTCATTAAGTTAATCTATCTAGCTATCTATACAAGTTGGAAAGCAGTGCAGTATGTTTTTTTTAAAAGACCCTTAAATTTAAAAGAACGCCAAAGCATTTTCTCTTCACACATGCATGCAGCCACAGAAACATTTGCAAAAGTAGCCCAAGTTTTAATTTTCAAAGAAAAATAGCATTTTAGACACACCCCTTCAACAGCACAAAACGTACAACTCAAGTTCAAAATTTACAAAGTCTTGCATTTTATCAAGGTGAATTTAAATGCCACAAGTTACAGCCACACATGTGAAGAAACAAAAAAAAATATGAATGCAAGGTTATTAATCTTTTATCAATAGAAACATCCAGGCTTCTCCAACAGCATCAAACTAAAGCCCACTTTTAAACGACAAACTTGTTTTTGGTTATGGAGTTGCTCTTGGTTGCAGTGTCCGCATGGGCTTGATATCCAATAACAAGTTTCTGCGGGAGCCCGAGACTTTCTTTATACTTCTTACTGAAAGGGAAGTAATATGAGACAAGTGAGCAACTTGCTTTCTTGGAATCCTCCACGATTTTAGAAAATCACCCCCAAAAAAACCTGAGTGTTTATCTTTTCAAACACCTCTCTTTTGTCTCAGTCCACTGGCTGCCGATTGCTGCCCACATCAAGTTCAAGGTACTGATGCTTTGGTGGAGAACAGCCAAAAAAGTCTGCACTGCACTGACAAATGTTTACTCCTGATTTCTGTGCCCTAAGCAATAACAAACCCTCATCTGCTCTGACTGTAAAACAATTTCAGGATAAAACTTTTATATTTATTAGAAAACAAATCATGTGTTCACTGCATAAATCCAGTCCAGTGGGAATCTTGCAGTTGTACAACATATCCTAGCAGCAGAGGACTGCAGACTGTTCCCCGTCCATCTGATATGATGGATAATTAGCTTCATTAGGTTGCTAGGCACAAATTCCTTTTCCACGATCATTCATGTTTACAGCACCATGAGTGGTCAAATACTTACATCTGGCTCTGCCTGACATCATTCAAAAGACACTCAAATCTATAAAATCAAACACAACCATGTAATATAATACTATATGATATAATTGAACATCTTTTGAAAGAACTCGGGCAGAGCCTGATGTAAGCAAGTATAGAATCTGCAGTTCAGCAAAGCATTAAAAACACTTTGTACTACATTGCTTTTTTTTTTTTTGTGGGGGCCTGCCCCAATGGCAACATTGACCGCCAAAATAGATTGATAGATAACTTTTATTTTTTCTATTTAAAATGGGTAAAATCTTACTTCAGTGTGGAGCTGAAGCTGACCGTTTGATGGCTCAGCATGTCTCGCTCTCTCTCATGACAGCGAACGAATTAAAACAGGGGGTGTTTCTTAATATGCGTTCCCATGGAAACGTCATCAGGACTTCATCAGGAGTGCAGGACTTGGTTAGTATCATGCATCATATAGTATCTTGTCAAAAATATGGATTTTTTGATACATAATACTGAAATATCTAAAACCGTTTCAACACTCTTTTTTTCCCCCCCACAGTATCTATACACCGATACTAGCAGCAGCGCTTTCTCTCTCTCTTTTCTCTCTGACAGAGTTCACACACACCGCAGTGAAACGAGAACATTTAAAAACATGTCGTCCAACAAAATACACCTTTAATGACATACAGTATTTTTACTCCTAACTCACTTCACTCTCAGAAATAAAGGTACAAAAGCTGTCACTGGGGCGGTACCTTTTCAAAAGGTACACTTTGTACGTATTAGGTTCTAATATTGTACACTTTAAGAACGAATATGTACTTTTAAAGTACCAAAATGGACTCTTTAGGTACAAACATGTACCTTTTAAAAAGGTACTGGCCCAGTGACAGCTTTTGTACCTTTATTTCTGAGAGTGTTCATAACGACAGTCGAGTGTTTGAAATAACCTCCTTTTGTGATCTGATGTGGCTTTTTATCATAACAAATTATTTTATAGCATTCTATACTGTAATAAAGGCTATGTCAATTACCATTATATTATACATGGACTTTATTCTTATATTGCTGTGTTACGTGTTTATTGTCTTCATGTTTGGTCAGTTAAAGCGTTTCTATCTTCTTTTTATTGAGCTACAGCCACAGCTGCATGCCTTTGTCCATATTAGGGATTTCCTGGAACGTTCTATTACATCTGTGAGGCATATTTGGAGTTTCTGCCCTCCGGCTTCCAGTATGAATGAAACTGATATAATTACACGAGTGTGCTCGCTAATCCTCACACCACCTTATTTTGGGTAAAAAGAGGAAAAATAATACTTCTCAAAAGAAATTTGAAGTAGACATATGCAAATCCATACGTTTTTCTCCAGTGTTTTTACCACCTCAAGAAGTTTTAATTAATGTAAAAATATACCTCACTGTCATGTTCTAGCCTCGTTATATTTATCATTCATTAAAAAACTAAAATGTTATGCCCAGTTCAGAAATACCATCAAATATCAATATTTTTATAATATCAAAGTTATAAATTCCTGCAAATCCCCCCAGGGTAAAGTGCCACCACAAATAGAGTGCAAGTCTGTGGGAAACACTGTACTATATACACAGTTTAAAAGTTTAGTTTAATTTAATGTGAAAAGATGAGCATGTTGGCCATTTAACAGCTAATATTTATGTTTATATAAAACTCAAGCATGCTTACCCAATGTATGTCACGGTCTCACAGTTCTCAGCATTGGAGGTCCAGATGGCAATTTTGTCCCCTTTGGCACGGATATTGATTACACTTCCACAGATATCCCGACTGAAGGAGCCAAAGCCCTCTCCAATGAGACACAACAGCTGCCACGAGAACAAACATGTATTCAACAATCTTTCTTTTGCTGTAATTTAAGCAACTTCTTTTAAATGAAGTAGTAGTAAATATTATGTATTCATACAATTAGTAGTTCTCATAGAAGGATGAGAATGATGTGAATTTTCAACAAGAGACTAACAAAGCAAGTATATTTTCTGACCGTTTCCAGCCAAAAATGGTCAAGTTCTGTGTGTCTATGCTGCTTGGCGAGAGTTATCAACCAGCGGCCACCACATTTATTACTCCTGTCTTCCCACATGGGCTCGATGCCATCCTGTAAAGCAACAAAGAGTCACTACACCAGTGTAATATTAATTTTTCATAGGCTAATTACAGTTTTTGATGTTTAGTCAATTTTTTTGCAGCCCTTGCACATTAACAGAACTAAATTTAGACAGCTATGTGAACTGCGAACAATAGTCATTAACAGGACAGTTATACACAATATTTAAATTAAATTAAAAAATACTACACAATATTAAATAAAAAATATATAAAAAAATAAAATAAAATAAAAAAAATAATAAAATAAAAAATAAAATAATATAAAATAAAATATAAAATATAAAATAAAATAAAAAATAAAAAAATATAAAATAAAATAAGTCATTTTTATTGTAATAATGATTGTGGATTAACCTGTTAAACCTTAGAGGGCGCCAATGGTCTAGCGACTGTTGAACTTTATTTTTACCACAGGATATTAAAACCAAATCTTTTAATAATTGCCTAAATACATTTGATTTTAAAGGGTCCTAAATCACCAAACATGTGAACATGCAAAATCAGAGCGGGGGTTAGGACGTTTATTTTGAAATCGTCATGAACAAAACTATAACTGTTGAAAACACTGATGTTTTCACTTGTTGACTTAATTTATAGTAATTCCTTCTTTTCAGTAAATGATGTGCTCTGGGTGTTTAAGTGGTGCAAATCTCCTAATAATGCAAGTCTGAGATGATTTTTATACTTGTGCTCAAAATGTTAAATGGTAAGAATATTATACATGGGAACAAAATATAATGGCACTGTAACGTTACACACACACACTCTATTCTATGAATTCGACTAGATTTCATAAGCCTGTGATTAAGCAGGACTGTGAAACTAGCCTGTTTCAAAATTTTGTAATTGACTCAATGTGTAAATTGTAATTGATGAATTTTTAATTGAGCAATGGAACTGTACAATGGATGGGCTATTGGCCAAAAGAAGCTGAAAAATATTGGCATATCGGAAAAAAAGTACTTCTAGTAAAAAGTACTTAAAAGTACCCTAGTACTTATAATGAAGCTTCTCTTTTGTTGGTAAGAGATTTCCGAACACTTCTGATTACAGATCCGGTGAAATGAGGGGTGCACATGGCATTCTCAAACACATGTTACAGGTGACCTAAACTCCGAGGATAAGGGTTCAGAGCCAGCTGTGGCTCTCAGAGACAGAAAACACTGTTATCACGAGCTGCATGCGTGTAAATGAACATGGTTCAGTGCTTCACTCGGCAATCCACAACACAACCTATTTTTACATAAATTATTTAACAAAATCACAGCCTTCTGCACCAAGCCACATCATGATTTAGATTTTACAGAAATTAATTGTTCATCCCTAACATCTACAATGGTTTTATTATTATTATATACACTACCATTCAAAAGTTTGGGATCAGTAAGATTTTTGATGTTTTTAAAAAAAATGTTTCTTATGCTCATCAAGGCTGCATTTATTTGACCAAAAATAGTAAAAACAGGAATATTGCGAATATAACTACAACTTAAAATAAAGCTTTCCCATTTTAATATAATTTAAAATAAAATGTATTCCTGTGATGCGCAGCTGAATTTTTTTGCATCATTACTGCAGTCTTCAGTTTCACATGATCCTTCAGAAATCATACTAATATACTGATTTATTATCAATGTTGGAAACAGTTGCGCTGCTTAATATTTTATTTATATTCTTTCCTTTTTTTTTTTTTTGGAACATACTTTTTTCAGGATCCTTTGATGAATAAAAAGCTATTCAGCATTTATTCAAAACAGAAATCTTTTGTAACAATAAGTCAATTTAACATAACCTTCCTGAATAAAATAAATAATTTTATTCAAAAAACAATATCGACCCCAAACTGAACAGTAGCGTATATCGTTGTTAAAAAAAAACATTTCTATTTTGAATAAATGCTGTTCTTTTTTTAACTTTTGGTTGTAAAAAACATTAAGCAGCACAACTGCTGATCCAACATTGATAGTAAATCAGCATATCAGAATGATTTCTGAAATATTATGTGACGAATACTAAAATAGAAAAGTTATATTAAATTGTAATTTCACGATATCACTGATGCCCTCCTGAGCAGAAAGTCACTACTTTATATTTAAAAATGATAAAACTGATATCAAACTTTTGAATGGTAGTGTATGTCAATTCAAATAAATCAAGTTAACTATAGCCTGAACAACACATTTTAAAAATGTCCAGGCAGAGCTGGAAACATTGTAATATAGAACAATATGTAGCGTGGATTGTAATAAGAATCTTCAATTGTTCTTCTAACAGCTAAACTCTTTTCCCAGTGGTTTATGATAACGACAAACACGTGAACTTACGCCCAGAAGTCCTCAGCTGTGTCGAACTTGGTGATGAGCCTTAGATTGTCTTGCCACATTTTGCTCTTATCATTTTTGTAGAACCAAAGACCCCATCTGCACACACACGACACGCAGGGGAGAAGCAGTGAGCAGACGGGCCAGAGAGAGTGAAGCGAAGGAACGTCAGCAGCCTGAACGCACCTGTTTTGTAAAGGGTGCTTCATATAAGGGCCCTTCAAAATGTGCGTTTCGAATTTCTGTTTTTCAACCTTCTTCCTCGTCACTTTCTCAATCTGGTAAAATGTAAAAGAAATGAATGGCGTGGCACAGGCGCACCATGCGTCTCCGACGCCGCTCAACTTTTGGCCTGAAATCGCTTCACTACATAAACAAAGGTTTCTCTGGCGTATTGCAGGTGAAAGAAAACGCATGTTATTAGACTGCCACGTGTGTGTGCAGGGTGAAATGAGTACTGTAATCACGGACACGGCATGCTCACCAGCTGTACAGCGCACGACGCCATGGCACTCCTGTAGCGCGAGAGAGACCGAGCTCGCACAGCGCGCGCATTTATAACCTCAGAGCGGCGTTTAAAATGATGATTTTGAAAGGAAATAACTATTTTGACTATTGCAAACTCAATTATCACACTTTCGAAACAACATGAAAACTGATCATTTATCCTTTTTTTTTTTTTTTTTTTTGCATTTAGTGCTTTTCCAAACCTTGACTGGGTTAAAAAGTAATGAGAGCAGGATTTTGGCAATGCACATTCTAGTCAAGAACCTGATCTACAGCTTGTGCTTTGACCTCAACATGTGCATTTCTGTTTCAAATATGTGTGTGTGTGTGTGTGTATATATATATGAAGCGTTTTGGAGTGTATATACATTGATACAGTACTGTGCAAAAGTCTTAGACCATTAGTATTTTCACCAACAAAAAATATGGTTTAAGTCAGTTATTTCTATCTTTTGCTGTAGTGTGTCAGAAGGAAATATCAGTTTACATTTTCATATATTCATTTTGCCAATAATTGTAATAATGCAGTGAGATTTCTGCCGGTGCTGCACACAGAGATCTGATCTCAGCATCATCCTCCAGTCAGACTCCGTCTGAGATTACATGAAACTGAGACAGACTAAATCCAGAAGAACTGTGGCCATGACTCCAAAACGCTTCAAGAAACCTTCCTGCAAAGCTTCCTGAAAAACTACGTGCAAATGCACCAGACAAAAGCTGTTTTAAACATAAAGGGTGCTTACACCAAATGTTGATTTGATTTAGTTAATTGAAGTTAATTGCTAAATAAAATCTATTTCTGACATTATTTTTGAAAGCATCCTCACTTTACAGCATTTTTTCACAAGTGCCTACAACTTCTCACAGTACTGGAGCTTTGCAGGAAGGTTTCTTGAAGCGTTTTGGAGTCGTTGCCACAGTTCTTCTGGATTTAGTCTGTCTCTGTTTCTTCTGTTTCTTCATGTGATCTCAGACAGACTGGAGGATGATGCTGAGATCAGATCTCTGTGTGCAGCACCGGCTGTTGTTCATAGAAATCTCACTGCATTATTACAATTAATGGCGAAAGGAATGTTTGGAAATGTAAACTAATATTTCCTACTGACACACTACAGCAAAAGATAGAAATAACTGGCTTAAAACCTTTTCTTTTTTTTTTTGTGGTGAAAATACTAATGGCCTAAGACTTTTGCACAGTAGCTACTGTATATTATATGTTACATTATTAAAACTAAAGGCAGGTCGTGTTTTGTCTCATCATGTCTTAAGAATCAGTGACTGGATGGTTTGATATTTTAAAGTCATATAATTCTTATGACATCCAGTGCAGTATGTTCAACTCACCACCAGAGGTCTCTGTCACCTGCTTATTGAAATGGACTCTAAAATGGCACACAATTCAATATTCACACTATTTTTATTCAAAAGATTTTAAAGACTTTTTGATCAGTCCTTTATGTTTAGATCAGGCCTTTATTTTTGAATTTATGTACATTGTGATAATTAAATATATGAATACAAAGAACTGTTCTTTTTTACTTCTTTTTGTTCAATATAATTTTAATATAATTGTAAAATATAATACAATGAAATATTTAAAAAATATAAATGTTTAATACAAATATATAACAGCAAATGAAAAATGAATTTCAGTATATGGACTAAAAAAATCAAACTTAAAAAGATGAAATATATTGTTTGTTTATCTGCATGTCGTGATGTGACCATTAACCAACATCAGAGAACCTGAACCTGAACATGTATTGTTAAATTATTGAAATATTAGCTTAAAATCTCAGGGGGACTTGGTAAGTAAATATTTGGGGGTTTGGCTGATATAAACATTTGGCAATCCCTTTATTAGGCTACATGAATAAATAATTCATAAACAAGACGAAAGCAATGACATTACACAGCCAAAGTCTTCCAGATTTGAAATATGTTTGTCCAGACTTCCATAAATTAGTGAAGGTCAGACAGAGTAGACACAATCACTGTTTATAATGTGTTTTATTGTTTTTTGAAAGGTCTGATAAATAGGAGTGGTTTCTTATTAAAGTAGGCTAATGTGGTTGATGAGGGAGCAATCCACATACTCTATTAACAAACGTTTTCCTTTTACATTAGGTTACATTAAGTATTACTCTTTTAAACCTACCAAACTTATAACAATAACAACAAATGAAATGTAGGTGTATTTGTTGCATGACAACTATGACGGGAACAGAATTTTGACAAACTTTACCTCACCCCCGTTCAGATTTATCTGAATATAGATATTAATAATTTTGCCATTGGTACAGACACAGAAACAAACACAAATACTGGCTTCACTGCACACACCTATGGGTTACTCTACTATCATTGTGTAAGAAAGCAATATGTATGTATATTTATTATATATGGGCATGGTCCCAGCCCTGAGATCTCTCCTTCCTTGCTGGTCCCTCCTGGCTTATTAGACGCTCTGAGTCACCCGCTGAGAAACCTGATCAAAGTGCTCTAGTTATTGGTGATTCTATTGTATGGAACGTGAAAATAGAGACACCAGCCACCATAGTCCAATGTTTACCGGGAGCCAGAGCGCCTGCTGTGTCTGTCCCCCGAACTAGCAAATACAAAAAAACGTCCAAAACAATTTAAGTGTAACAATTGAATTTATGTTCAACAAATAAAAAACAGATATAATACAGATAAACAAATGATAAAGCTTGGCTTAATGAATATTAGATCCCTTTCTAAAAAAGCACTTTTTGTAAATGATATGATCACAGATCATAGCCTAGATGTGCTCTGTTTGACAGAAACCTGGCTAAAACCTGATGATTACATTATTTTAAATGAGTCTCACCCCTAAGATTACTGTTATAAACATGAGCCACGTTCAAAAGGTAAAGGGGGAGGTGTTGCTACAATTTATAGCAATATTTTCAGTATTTCTAAGAGGTCTGGTTTCAAGTATAATTTGTTTGAAGTATTGGTGCTTTATATAACATTATCTAGTGTAAATGATATGATCACAGATCAGAACCTAGATGTGCTCTGTTTGACAGAAACCTGGCTAAAACCTGATGATTACATTATTTTAAATGAGTCTACCCCCCCAGGGTCAGGGTCATATAACTACTTACGGTCTGTTATGTAACAGTTGCATGACATGGAGAAGTTGAGGTGAGGATCTAAGTGCAGCAGGTCTTAAAATAAAGGTAATACAATGATTCATAGTAATCCAAAAACAAAGGTAAGAGTTTGCAGTAATCCAAATGGTAAATGCATACATAACAGCTCTGTATAACAAAGACAATGACAAATCAATGAACAGTGGCTTATATGACACTAGACTTGTGCCGGTATTCGGTAATGCGATATATCACGGTAATGAATATGCACGATATTGTTATCGTGGGCACTTCTAAATACCGTGAATAATTATATATTACAAATTATTTAGAATTTTGAATGCATTTTAAGAATACTTTTCCCATAAACTGGTCAAAATGCACAACAGCGCTGTATGCTGCGTGAAAGACACTGCGCACTCTGATGTAAACAAGCGCGGACGTGAAGCACATTGGTATAACTGGGAATTAAACAAGACACAGATGCAACTAATCGGAAACCATAGAAATAAACAATGACAAATTTAGAAACTAAGAAAACAGAATTTAAACCAAACCAGACATGACAGTAGTAAATCAATCATTCTCCAAATCCCTGTGATTATCATCACAAAGATGGCTGACAAAATTTGTTCATGTAAATCTACCCTGTGTCCCAATGTGCAATCCATTCTACATTGTTCCCCAAAGCATAGTATGTTGAAATAAGTATGCCTAAAGTCCCCAGATGGTCTAGTATAGGGGTGCCCAGTCCTGTACCTGGAGATCTACCTTTGTGCAAAGTTCTGCTCCATCCCTAATCAAACACAAATGAACTAGCTAATTAAGGTTACGTTAAAGGGGTCATATGATGCTGCTAAAAAGAACATTATTTTGTGTATTTGGTCTAATTAAATGTGCTTATGCGGTTTAAGGTTAAAAAAACACATTATTTTCCACATACTGTACATTATTGTTTCTCCTCTATGCCCCGCCTTTCTGAAACGCGTCGATTTTTACAAAGCTCATCGGTTGGATCTAAGGGGTCCTGACCAAGCGTCAACATGTGATGAGTTGGGAGTAAGATTCGAGATCGATCTGTGTTTGACATCAAAGTACCACGAAAGCGATTCGAAAGCATAAGGAGCTGTCTGCTCTCTATAGCTCCCCTTACCAAAAAGTAGTATACTTCAAGTTTATTTTATTAAGTATACTTAAGTAAAGTTCAAGTATATTTTTAAGTATACTTTATGTAGTAAGTATACAAATATCAGAGTACTAGTAGTATACTTGTAAGTGTACTATTTCAATACTCCTTGGGACTAAATTGGCCCACTTTCTAGTATATAAAAGTATACTTTAAGTATAACAGTGTTCTTTTTAGCAGCATCATATGACCCCTTTATGGATAGGGGTGAGGTTAGGTGCTCTAAAATATCTATGAAAGTATAAACATATTTAAAATGATTTCTATTTTTACAAATGCATGCAAATAATTAAATCTGACGCATAAGGCATACAGCTGAACGCCACGGAGTACCCTGCACATCGAAAAGTGACGCTAAAGGGATACCCTGACTGTTAAAATGTGGATCCAAGGGGTCCTGACCAAGCGTCAACATGTGATGAGTTGGGAGTAAGATTCGAGATCGATCTGTGTTTGACATCAAAGTACCACGAAAGCGATTCGAAAGCATAAGGAGCTGTCTGCTCTCTATAGCTCCCCTTACCAAAAAGTAGTATACTCAATGCCATTTTAAGTATATTTCGGAGAAGTACATAAAAAGTAGACTGAAAGTATACTTTCCTATTTTTAGTTTAAAAGAAGTATACTAATAGTACACTTGAATAAACTTCTTTTTTGTAAGGGTCTCACAGATGTCCAACACCAATCGATCTGCAAAGTGCTGTGTCAAGTCGAACACACCTAATGTGTTGGTCCTGCAAACTTCAGTTTCAACC